AGCAACGCTCTTCTGAGGTTTTTACCCAGTGGCCTATGTATTATGAGGGACTTTCACTGTGGCCAGTGGAAACACTGAATTGCAGTGTGAACTCTAGGAATTAGGGTTATTCTACTGCTCTCTGCTGGGTCTTCCCTCAGCCTCATATAGTCCGCTCTTAACAAACTCTCAGCCAGAAACTCAGAGGAGCCTCTTTGTAGATTCCTAGAATCTGAAACTCTCTTCTGTTCAGCACCTACTTGTCAAGTGTACAGTCTCACAACTCGAGACTCACTGGCCCCTGTAATCTTTGTCTCTTCAACTTAGAGAGAATGCTTAGTTCTCCTGCCTGTACTTCAGCTTGGAAAATGTCTCTAGGCAGTAAGAGCAAACTTCTACAACTCATCTCATTTGTTTCTCATTTCAGGGAGCACAGTCATGCACTTCTAATTTTCCAGTATTTAAAATCCATCTTTTTCATACATTGTGCCCCGTTTTCTATGTGTTTAAGAAGGGAGGATAAATCCAGTTCCTGTTACTGCATCATTGCTAGAAGCTTTGGATGAGAAGAAGGATATGATCTTACATGTTTTTTAACATTATGAGACTGATGGGTTAGAAGTTGATTACAGAAAGTAGAGAATGATTGAAGCTAGGATGTAGGAGGCTATTACTATATCCAGGCCAGACGTGACAGTCACTGTGGGAACAGTAGACATGAAGCAAAATGGTAGAATTCTGGACTTGACGAAACAACAAACAGGATTTGCTGATTATTTGGATGTTGAATATAAAAGGAAGAGAGCAGTGAAGGATGACTCAAAGAATGTTGGCTTAAGTAACTAGAAGAATGGGGAGGACAGTTTCAGTAGAATGTTGGGAAGAAATTCTGAAAGGGATGGATTGAAGAAAGAATGGTGAAGAGGATTCAGACACATCACTGAGGATACATAACTCTCAAGGAGTTTAGTCAATCACATTCCATCTCTCAAGGGACTCACAGTCTAACTGGGGATGAAGGGAGAAGTGTAAAGAGAAAATTACATTAGAGTAAGGTGTACAGTAATAGAAACTTCTATAGCCAGAGATCAAATGAAGAAGTCTCTAATATTTGTTGTTGTTGTTCAGTAACTATATCATGTCCGACTCTTTGTGACTGCATGGACTGCAGCACACCAGGCTTCCCTGTCATTCACTGCCTCCCAGAGTTTGTTCTAACTCATGTCCATTGAGCCGGTGATGCCATCCAACTATCTCATCCTCTGCCGCCCCCTTCTCCTCCTGCCAGTACAAAATATTTCACAGAGGTGGTGAAGCTTGAGTTGCATGAAGAAGGACCAGGAAAATTTCATCAGAGGGAAGAGGTGGGCAGGGCGTTGCAGAAAGAGGGAAGAGCATGAGATAAATGACAAATGGCAGACACTTCAGTGCATTCAGGGGACATTAATTTTCTATGGCTCAGCCTAAGGTGGGAATGGGGATTTGTGAAGGAAGGAAATGCCAAAGAATGTTCAGACTACAGCACAATTGCACTCAATCTCACATGCTAGCAAAGTAATGCTCAAAATTCTCCAAGCCAGGCTTCAACAGTACATGAATTGTGAACTCCCAGATGTTCAAACTGGATTTGGAAAAGGCAGACAAACCAGAGATCAAATTGCCAACATCTGTTATATCATAGAAAAAGCAAGAGAGTTTCAGAAAAAAACATCTACTTCTGCTTTATTGACTATGCTAAAGCCTTTGACTGTGTGGATCACAATAAACTGTGGAAAATTCTTCAAGAGATGGGAATACCAGACCACCTTACCTTCCTTCTGAGAAATCTGTATGCATGTCAAGAAGCAACAGTTAGAACTGGACATGGAACAACAGACTGGTTCCAAATAGGAAAAGGAGTACATCAAGGCTGTATATTGTCACCCTGCTTATTTAATTTATATGCAGAGTACATCATGTGAAATGCCAGGCTGGATGAAGCACAAGCTGGAATCAAGATTGCCAGGAGAAATATCAATAACCTCAGTCATGCAGATGACATCAGCCTTATGGCAGAAACTGAAGAAGAACTAAAGAGCCTCTTGATGAAAGGGAAAGAGGAAAGTGAAAAACTTGGCTTAAAACTCAACATTCAGAAAACTAAGTTCATGGCATCTGATCCCATCACTTCATGGCAAATAGATGGAGAAACAATGGAAACAGTGAGAGGCTTTATTTTCTTGGGCTCCCAAATCACTGCAGATGGTGACTGCAGCCATGAAATTAAAAGATGCTTACTCCTTGGAAGAAAAGCTATGACCAAACTAGACAGCATATTAACAAGCAGAGACATTTCATTGGCAGCAAATGTCTGTCTAGTCAAAGATGTGGTTTTTCCAGTAGTCACATATAGATGTGAGAGTTGGACTATAAAGAAAGCTGAGCACCAAAGAATTGATGTTTTTAAACTGTGGTGTTGGAGAAGACTCTTGAGAGTCCCTTGGACTACAAGGAGATACAACCAGTCCATCCTAAAGGAAATTAGTCCTGAATATTCATTGGAAGGACTGATGCAGAAACTTCAATACTTTGGCCACCTGATGTGAAGAGCTGATTCATTGGAAAAGACACTGATGCTGGGAAAATTGAAGGCGGGAGGAGAAGGGGAGAACAGAGGATGAGATGGTTGGATGGCATCACTGACTCGATGGATGAGTTTGAGCAAGCTCTGGGAGTTGGTGATGGACAGGGAAGTCTGGTGTGCTGCTGTCCATGGGGTCACAAAGAGTCAGACATGACTGAGTAACTGAAATGAACAAGATAAAAAGGCAGTGAAAAGGTTAGTTGATAAAGACTCTTCTTTACCATGTATATACCTTAGACTTTATTCTGTAAGTAATGGAAATGCCTCTAAGCTCTGCAATGTGACTGGAGGAGTTGAATAGGAAGGCTGGTTAAAGGGCCTGAGTAAGAAGCCACTGAGGCTTGAATGAAGCCAAGGAGATAGTGTTGGGGGTAGGATCTCACCAAGACTTTAGCTGAGGAATCGAGAGGTTTCTGTGAGCTGATGGATGGAGTGAATTAAGAGGAAAAGAGGAAGGAGTTGAAGATAACATTTAGCTTTTTGGCCTGGCCATTTGAGGAAATTAGCTAAACTTGAGAAAAGAGATATTTGTACAATAAAATATTTTACATGCCTTCCCCAGGACTGAGAATTCGGTCAATGAGTGCTGACTCAAAGGGTAGGTTAGAAGGGCTTTAATCTCCTACCCTGGTGGTCTTCATCATGTCTCCTCCCTGCCTACCAGTGGCATCAAAAAACCTAAAGGCTGTGGGAAAATATGATGTTGCCTATACAGATAGCTTTAATATAGTTCCCTTAACTAGTTTGCCTTTTATCAGCCCCTGGGGCTTCCCTGGTGGTTCAGACAGTAAAAAAAAATATGCCTGCAATGCAGGAGACCAGGGTTTAATCCCTGGATGAGGAAAATCCCCTGGAGAAGGAAATGGCAACCTACTCCAGTATTCTTGCCTGGAGAATTCCATGGACAGAGGAGCCTGGTGGACTACAGTCTGTGGGGTCACAAAGAGTCGGACAGAACTGAGCGACTAACAGTTGTATATAAAAACCCCTGGAACTGCAATAGATTCTGTATCAGATCAGGTTAATCAAAGAGCTTACATTTCTCATTATACAGACAAGTGATAGAGGTAAGATCACTCATTGTTGTACTTTGCAGACTGGTGTCAATGGAACAGTAAGGGACAAATAACTCTGATCTTCCCAGAACAGGTCTCCCTCACGCTCTAGGATCTAACCATAGTGCCCTTCTTTATGTTCCTCCAACCAGTCATGCCACACTGCAGGGCCTTTACATGTTCTGTTTTGTCTCTTGGGATAGTGACCTGCCCTACTCCATAACTTATTTTATCTTAGCAAGACTCTTCTTGTCTTTTGAGTCTCTTTCCCCTAACCACTTTTTAGAACATCTGTTAACTTCAATTGGTCTTTATCATGTTACATTATTACCTCTCTTCCTAACATCTTGTAATTTGTACAAAGTACATCTTTGTGCTTTCTTGTTTAATTGATTATTTTATATCTGTTGCCCATGCAAGACTTTATGAGTGGCAATCATGTTTACTTCGTCTTCACTATAAGATGATTAATATTACCTCTACCTTGAACGTATTCAGTAAAGATATGTTATATGAATAAGACATAAAATGCAGATATTGAGGGTTATTATTTAAAAGCATTTTATCTATGAGCTAATAGAAGAAAATATGATTACAGGATGGGAGGAATTCCCTGTTGTTTTTGAAACCGTAACACACACAGTTAGTAGCTTTCCCTAAGATTGATCCTGTGTGATTGTATAGTTGCCAAGATTGCATTGGTGTTTTAGCCTGGGTAATTAATGCTAATGGATGTAATAAACAACCCCAAGGTCTCAGTAAGAGTTTGTGTCTTTCTCAGGTTACAGTGTTTGATCACTGTTTCCTATGTGGTAATTGAGGGGCTCCAGCGTCTTCTCTTTTGTGGCTCTACTGCTCTCTCAGTGATACTCTGGGATCCTTCATTGAATCCCTTCTATTATGTCTAGCCAACAGTCAGAATGGAGAAGTCAATGGCAACCCACTCCAGTACTCTTGCCTGGAAAATTCCATGGGCAAAGGAGCCTGGTGGGCTGCAGTTCATGGGGTCTTGAAGAGTCGGACATGACTGAAGTGATTTAGCAGTAGCAGCAACAGTCAGAAGGAAGTCTTACCTGGTTATATAAGAGATTCCAAAGACCAACTCTGCAAGTGGTATGCATCACTTTTGCACACATTCTGTTTGGTCAGAATGAGGCACATGGCCCCCATGTAACTGCAAAGGAAGCTAGGAAATGTAGTCTTCCTGTGTGTCCAGAAAAAAGAAACTGGATCTGTGAGCATGGAGCCAGCCTCTGCTGGGGACTTCAGTTGGTTACCATGAGGATTATATAGTTAATATATGCAAAACACTGAGAATAGTACCCAGTGCATTAGGGACAACCATGATTCCAGGTAAGTTGCAAGAGGAGTTTCTCTGTTTGCACTAATTACTGTTTGCTAAACAAAGCTACTATTCTAAAAGTTTCTGTCAAGCCCAACAGCTGGCTGGAGAGTTTCGTGAGCCCCAGTGCCCAAGGAGGCCAGCCAAAGATGCGGATGTTACCGCCAAATCTGTGCGGCACATCCTCATGCTTTGTTTAATTTGGTTCCCTGGGTGGGATAAGTTTTATGAGCAGGTGTTCTGGTTAATTAGGTGATTAATACTCCTCAAATTGGAGAGCCATTTCCCCAGTGACAGTTCTTGCTTTTCTCAAATATGAGACAAATCTTCATTGATAGTTTGAAGAGGCAACTGACTGAACTCACCAACCTGCCAGGCCTCCCAGGTCATCACTCTGGCCAACCCCAACAGCTGGCTGAGTCACCATCTAAATGCACCAATTCAGGGAAACAAAAGCGCCCCAGATCATCTGGCCTCCTCTCAGACCAGGGCAAAGTTGACCTGGAGTCACATTAACGGTTTCCTTCTGGGGATTCCAATCTGTATCATCGCTCAAAGTCAGAGTCATTGTCTCTACACAGAGTCCTCCAACTTCTCTGGCAAGGTGACCAAGCCCCCTCCAAAGGCAAATCAGGTATCCAAGTTCTTTCTCTCAAATTTTGTCTCAGATCAATAGAAATATGTCCCCAAACCCTCATACACCATGTTTCCAGAGCCCTCTCACCAACCCCACACACCATTCTATTTCTGCCTTCTTGCCTTTGCTTCCCTCAATGAAAAGACTCTTTTCCCTCTCATTGATTTCATCAAATGTATGCATCCTTCAAAAGCCAAATGGTATTCCTCAGCCCTCCTGATTCAGCTTGAAGTGCTTTCTTCCTCTTTAGAATTTTCATAGCAATTACTGTATGACCCATGTCAATTAGAATTTAATTATATGTCATATTGTTTCTTTTCTTTCACGTATCTTAATTTTGTTTTCCTAATTGGATTGTTGGCAGCTGTGGTCTATGTCTTCTCTTAGGCATGTATAAAGGTCCCAATAATCGGTTGTTTGATTGCTTAAATTAAGCTAGATGCCACTCGCCCTTCTAGAAAATGGTCCAGATCCATTCCATTGTACCAGCTTGAGCCACCAACTGAAAGCTATGACCACTTACTCGTGTTCCTCACATGTTCCAGCTTTGTAACCACAGAGGGACTAGGTCTCTTTCTCCAGTTCTACTTACAAAAATTCCAGGAAAGACTCTGACTTGCTTATTTCAGTCATTTGCTGAACCCCTAAAAAATCTGTCTTGAGGGAAATAAGATTATGTAAGAACAAGAAAATTCTGAGCCACAATCACAATAGCTGGAGTAAAGAGTGACAGTTGTCCACTATAGGTGTACCTGGATTTTGGAAGATTCTATTTCTTTATCTTCTTCTCCATTATTATATTATAATTATTATGTTATTTTTATATTATATTATAATTGTATATGATAATTATTATTATTATTTTAAAATTAGGTATTCATCATTAAGTATTTATCTTGTCAGAATGGATCTTGCTTCTTGGGGAGACAATAGATCAACTGTCAATAAGCCTTTACTGTTTGTGCTTTCTCAGAGAAGAGAGAAAGAAGACTTTGCTTTGAAAAAAGATATCTTTCCCTAACCCTGTTCTAAAATTTAAACTCATGCATTGCTATCTCTCCTAGGGGGATTTAATGGGGATAATAGTCATAATGTCAAAGTGGAGGTTCCATCATCTCTCCTTCCCCTCCCTGTCCAACTACTCTTCAGACATCTGCTTCGGTGGCTCGGTGAACAATGTGTTCCTTTCAGGTCCCTGGTAGAAAATGGATGACATAACTCAAAGGAGTAACTGAAGAAAGTTTAAGAAGGGGATTATTTAGAAAAGCAGGTTTAGGAAAACAGGAAGTGTTCTCACTCCCACCCCCAAAGAGGCAAGGGGATGGGACTAGAACTTAGAAGACAGGTCAGAAGACATGGATTGTGACCTCTGATGGAGGAAGGCAGCCACTGCCAGACTGAAGCCCTTGTGCAGGAAGTCCTGCCTGCGTTCCTCCAGCTCTCTTATATCCTGCCAGTTCCCCACGCGACCAGACCCAAGAGTGTGCAGGTGATACAGCCCTTCAAGGTCAGCTTTCTTGGTAACAGAATCGGGTGACAGTGGGCAGAGGATGATGTGGACAATCCATTAGACAATGACAAGCATAAATGTTAAGTTTTAATGGAGCAGGAAAAAATGTATCAGAATGAGAGAGAATATATATAGTTAGCAAAGAAACCTCCCAGAAATTCTAGAAGAATGTAACCTCTTCCTCCCTCAAAGATCAAGCAATGTTAATTAAAATAAGTAAAACTATGACAGGAGAATAGGAAGATTGGGAAGATCATTCATTCATGGATGCATTCATTTATTCATTCATCAGTCATCAAACATTTATTTGTACCTCTAGGCGTCAAGCATGCAAAAATGGATTAGCTGTCTCTGAATGTTTGAAAATTTTTATAATAAAATGTTGGAACAAATGGATTATATATGGTGACTGCCCCAAAGAATCTAATAGTCTGGCCTAGCAAGATCTCCTAGAGAAATCAACAGTTAAACTGACTCTGGGAGACCCAGATAGGGAAGAACAGGGTAGGATGTTCCAGGAGGGGTGTTTGGAGGGTGTGGGGGAGTGGTGGAAGATGAGGTGGTAAACACAGAAGTCTATTTCAAAGTTCAAGATTGTACTGTCAGATTTGCTAGAAAGGTCCCTTGATCATCAGAGCAAAAGATGGACTGGGAGTGGGAGGAACAAACAAAATTAGAGAGCTGATACGGGGGCCAGTGTGAACAAGGGCCACATTGAAAGCTGGTTTTCATAACCGGGAACAATGATAGGAGGACCAGGGATGAAGAGGGAACAGATTCAGAAAATAATCATGGGGAGACTTAACAGGGCTCTGTAACTGAATGGCTGTGGTGTGAGGCAGAGACAAGATGCTTTGGTTCCGTTTTTTGCCTTCCCCTACATACATTTTTACCTAACAGCTCCCTGAGTCTCCTTTGACTGCCCCACTTCTACCTGCCTAGCCGAGTATAGTTTGCAAAGAACCCTCACCCATGGATTCTTGTCTTCTTTGACCAAGAGGGTGATCACGTGATGTCAGCAGGCCAACCAGTCTCTTCCTCCTGGCTGTTTGGAAATCTTAGGTGCTTGGCACCAAGTCCTTGCCTTGGTTCTTGTCTTTTTTGGAACCCCCCTCTTTAATTTGTTCCTTACATTTTTATGTTACCCCAAAACCTTCTTAAAAATTCATTTCTTTACTTCAATTAGTTAGTTGTTGCTGCAACCAAAAAACTTGCTATAATTAAAATGGCCTTACATTGACACAGAAAACAGGTTAGAAGAGAAAGTCTGAAGTGGCTTTTCCTGGGGGAATGGGTGGGTAGTTTGCTTTTGAGAAGGCTATGGAAAAGTAAAGGGAACATCTTTTTGATTTGAAGAAAGATCCACAAATCCCCAGAGATTTGTGTAGCACTCTGAAAACCATCCCACAGAGTATGAAAGTCATCTCTGGAACTTAGACAGAAAGTCCTGCCCAGCAGCCTGACCTCATAGGGACTTAGACTTGTCTACACAGAGTGAGTCTTCCGTGAGGAGGCCGGCACATTCTGCAGATCCCTTGGCATCAGTGGAGCGGGGGGGTGGGTGGAGCCCCATACTAGGCATGCAGAGCCCTGGGATCTGACTCTGGCTGGCTTATTGATGTACTGCGTGACCTTGTACTGGTGCCTTTCCCTCTCTGAGACTTAATTTCCATGTTATTAGATATAAGGGTTGAATTTTACTGAGGGTTCTCCAAAAATTTCAAAAGAATATTAAGTTTACATGCAAAAGGGGCAGTGATACCGGGAAATGGCATCAAACCCCACTTAAACAATGTCTGTGTGTTTATATGTGCACGGCCATGCCGGGCCTCAGCTGCAGCCCATGGGCTCTCTTTCACTGTGGCATGCAGGGTCTGTTTCCCTGACCAGGGGTTGAACCTGAGCCCCTGTTTTCAGAGAACAGAATCTTAGCCACTGAATCACTAGAGAAGTCCCTTGAATTGAATGAACTTTAAACCATTTTATTTTGGGGCTCTTAAATACTCTTTAATACACTTATCTGTGATGCCATCACCAGGAGAGGTGAAAGGGAGCAGCATTCCTTATTTTATTTTTGCCCAAGGAAACTTCCGCCCATGGAAGCACATGTGGAAGCAGCAGTTGTCAGAGCGCACCGCAGAGATGGTGGGGCAGGCGGTGTCTGAGGTCGTTCCAGCCCACACACCCCATGGCTCTGGATAGCCGGTGTCCTCTGTACCTCCTGTTTCTCCCACTTCCCCTTTCTTGGGGTTGACTGACTGTGGGCTCTGTTCTAAGGTGGCTCTCCCAGGGAAGAGCAAACTTGAATGCCTATAAAGTCACTTAAAGACCTAGTCAGGCTCATGAACTCCCCTCCCAACAGCTTAAATGGAAAACATCCCACCTACCCCAACACACACACACACACACACACACACACACACACACACACACTGTGCTTAGAGCTCCCATCCCAGCAGCTTAAATGGAAAACATCCCACCTACCCCAACACACACACACACACACACACACACACACACACACACACACACACACACACTGTGCTTAGAGCTCCCGTCCCAGCAGCTTAAATGGAAAACATCCCACCTACCCCAACACACACACACACACACACACACACACACACACACACACACTGTGCTTAGAGCCCAACCTGAAGGGATTGCAAAGCATGCTCTAGTATGCACTTGAGAAAACAAGGAAAACCCTACTCCTTTCTGTTCCAGACAGTCTGAGACACTTGTGTGCCCTTGGGCCTTTGCCCAGTTCTCTCATCTGCCTCACTCCTGGTACTAAATTGGTTCAAGGTTTGGAGGAAAGCTTCAGAGGAAAGGATGTTTCGAGTTCTCAAATGCTGAAGTCACCCATCGACCCTCTATGGCCACCAGAGGGCGATGACAACAGCATCTGTGCTGAAAGCTGCTCCCAAGAAGAACAACAGTAAATTGCACCTAATGTGTTTATGAATGATGGAGGGGCTGAAGTGTGTCCGTGAGTGCATGTGTGTGTACATGTACATACAGTTCGGTGCCTGGGACTAAAACTTTGAAAATCTGCTAAATACAAGAAAATAAAATCTGCACCTCTACTATATATTCACAGGATGTAGTCCAAGCAGGAAAATGCAGTAGAAGGAATCAGAGTAGCATTTGTGTGAAAGAAAATGGAAGGACTGTCAGGAGCATAGTTTTTGTTGGCACTGTGTATGTGGGAGCATGCACGCACACATGTGTTATATGACTGAGTGTGAATGTGTATGAGAGTATGTGGAAGCATGTTTGTATACAAGTGGGTGTGTGTGATGGTATGTGTGATGGTGTGTGTAGGCATTGATGTATTTGTAGGTACGAGTGTGTGTGTGTGTGTGTGTGTGTGTGTGAGAATGTGTATATATGCAAAGGCTCATTCAGATGTTTTCACTGTGAGCAGACCTCAAGGAAATCTGGGCAATACTTCCTCCAGTTCCTGCCCTCTCTCTCCAAACAAACAAACAAAATCATTCCTACAAGTATTTATGGAGCCCCTAACACATGCCCCTCCCCAGGGCATCTGGAAAAGCTCAGACCTGGCCAGTTTAGAGGGGCCACTGGGAGAGGAAGGCACTAGAGGCCAAAGGGATGCCTTGCATGCAATGAGTGTTTTGAAAAACACACTTTCTCTTCTTTGATGCTTCAGACAACCCAGGGAGGCGGGCCCAGACAGTGATGTGGCCTCCTTGCTTTGAGGAAATCAAGGCTCAGGTGACACGGCTGACCCAGAGTCACCTGGTCAGGAAGCAGAAGCTCAGGGCCTAGGAACCCAGCACTGTCAATTCAGGGGTCCACAGCCCAGCCATCACTACTCTTAGCAGCGCAGCCAGTGTTGGGGCTGGGCAAAGAAGCAATGCTTCCAAGAAGGGTTTACCAACAGTGACCTGAACAACTCAGGTGGCCGTTTTCTGACACTTGTGACCGTGGAGGGCAGTCGTGCCAATGCAACAGGTCCTTCAGGAAGAAGTGGATCTTGGCCAAGACCAGGCAGGGTCTTTTAAGCATCTTGTCGATGAGGCAGGGCCGCAGCTTTGGTGGATTGTGAAGTCGAACATGGTGAATGAGAGGGCCGCGGTCTGGAGTCCCCAGTGGCTGTGTGGCTTCAGGCAAGTTACTTCACTTCTCTGAGCTCTGAGCTTTTAACCTATAAAATAGGGGTACTCAAATGCCCCCTTGCGGGACGATGTTGGGACAGAAGGTAAAACTGTAAGCAGCATGCCTAGGTCAGTGCTGGAATAAAGAAAATGTATCATCAGCCTGTTCAGTCCTTGGTTCCCTAGAGTGAATAAGCCTCAATTCTGGGACCCTGCTGGCCAACTGAGCCCCTCTTCCCGCCCGTTCCTTCTCCCTCCTCGGTGGCCTCCTCCCTTCGTGCTCCCCGGTCGCTCCAGCAAAGTTCCCAACTTAGTCGACATGACGCGCGGCGCAGCCAATCGGAGGCGGAGCTGGCGTTTTTGGGGGGCGGGAGGGGTGGGCCCCGCGTCTCCGGTGTCTGCCCTGCTCAGTGAATGGAGAGAGCGAGCGCCGGCCAGCTCACCCAGCCGCCCCGTGCGCCAGCCGCCGTCGCCGCCGCGCTCCAGAGCCCGGCCCCAAGCCGGACCGCCCCGGGCGCCGCGCCCCACTGCGCTCTCCCCAGGTTTCCGACCCGGCCCGCGCCCCGGGCCGCGGTCCGGTGGGGCCAGGGGGCGCTCAGCACCTGGGCACTCCGAGCGATGCACAGCGGGGCAGCGCCGGCCCCGCCGATGGAGCTGCTGCTGCTGCCGCCGCCACCGCCGCCGCCCGGCGCACCCCGCTCCGCCCGCGCCCCGTGCGCCTGAGCGCCGAGCTCGCTCCTCCTCCGCGCTAACTCCTCTGCCCGCTCCCAGGCCGTCCGTGCTCTTAGCTCATCTCCGCGGGCTCCACGCGTCTTGCCCTGCCGAGGCAGCCTCCTCCGGGCGCGGGCCCCTGCACACTATGGCCCCCGGGCGGACGGGGGCCGGCGCCGCCGTGCGCGCCCGCCTGATGCTGGCCTTGGCGTTGGCGAGTGTTCTGAGCGGGCCCCCTGCTGCCGCCTGCCCCACCAAGTGTACCTGCTCCGCCGCCAGCGTGGACTGCCACGGGCTGGGCCTCCGGGCGGTTCCCCGGGGCATCCCCCGCAACGCCGAGCGCCTGTAAGTACCCCCGCCCCGCCCTACCGTACCCGGGCCACCCACCTGGGTCCCACAGAAGAGCCCCCAGGCGCGCCAGATCCTTCCTTTCCCCTTGGTCGCGTTGGTTACAGTCTCTGCCTCCCCCGTCTCCTGGATCGGATCCTCCACCCTCTAAGTTGGGGGTCTGTGGCTTTGGACAGGGCTAGGGAGCAAGGGCTTGAGGCCCCTGTGATGAGCGAAGAGCAGTGTCTCTCCAGGGGTGAAGGGTTCCAGACGCAGGGCCAACTGACAGTTTCCAAAGAGAATGCTGGCAGAAGGCAAGGGAGAAGATGACACTGCAGGCAGGGAGGTCTTACGAAGAGGTCTTAGAGTGAGAGGAAGGGGTCCGCCCGTTTAAAGAGGGAGGGAAGCAGAAAGTCGAAGGGTGATGGGGCGACAAGGCACGGGGACTAGGAGAGCGGGCCCCAGGGACTGTGACCAGCTCGGAGATCAGCATGGCCAGCCGCTCTCTGGCTGCCCTTGCGAGGAAAGTTGAGAGTGTGTCTGAAGGTCTAACTTCTGAGGAACCAAACCAGTTCAGAGTGGGTGCTTGCAAAACCCGCCCTGCCTGGAGCGCAGCCTCCGAGATGCCAAGTTGCAGCTCGGGTGAATTTTTTATGGCTCGGTTATAAATGCCTCTCCGAACGGGGCCAGAGAATGGAAATGCTGACAGCCCTTTAAATGAGAGCGAGCGCTATAATCTTACAAACCGCACTCAACCTCGGATCCTGGGCTTGGCAGCAAGAGGAGAGGCGCTTGGAGAGTGGGGTGGATTGACCCTCGTTTTAACCCCAATTGTGCAACCAAATATTTACTTTTCATATGTCAACGTTTTGGAAACATTTATCATTTTGATCCTCGGACCAATTTCAAAACTTGGACTGGGGTGGGCTCTTTGTAGCCTGCAGTCCGAAGTGAAGAAGGAAGGAGAAATGGTGGAGGGGTGTTGGAAGGGACTGGGAACACAGCCCAGAAGTGGGTGAGGGTTTGCTGTAGCTGGTAGCTTCCTGCTGGTCTTGGTTCTCCCACTGCCCCTGCCCCGCATGTCTTAGAGGGTACAGGGGTCTTTGAGATTCTGCCTTCCTGGCTTTAGTCTGGAGGAGAGTGGCAAGAGACTAAGATGGATTGTCTTAGAGTGTGTTATTCCTGTTAATCACCTCCTGTCACTTCATTCTCTGCTGCCTACTCTTTATGTGTCCCTGAGCGGAGACTCAGTAGAATTGCCTTCCCTTTTCCTGCTTTCCTTTGGTTTAAAACATTTTTTTTTTCCAAGTGCAGTGATTATTCTGTGGGGGTGAACCATACAGTTCTAGAGCGGGGTAGAGCTGAACCTTCATGCATACACGTGGAAAATGTGGCTTGGAAATGTGAAATGACTCGCCTAAGGTCACACAGCAATTTGGTGGCAGTAAAAGGGCCAGAATCCAGGCTTCCACAACTGAATTCAGACATTACATTCTACCATGCCAGTGAAAAACTTGTTTTAGTGGTGGTTTTGGAAACCTGTAACTGATAAACGAAATTCACCTACCTCCTCACACCAGGGCCAACCACATGAGTGAGTGAAATAATAACTGTAGCTAATGTTTAACAAATGCTTTGTGTGCCTCAGTTTGTTTACATGTGTTATCTTACTGAATCTCTACAACTGTCTTATTAGTTACAAAGGTAATGCTTATTATTCCACTTAACTGTTAAGCCTTTTTGTCTTTGGTTCAAGGTCATGTAGTATCTAGTTAAGTGTTTGAATTCGAGTATATCTGGCTCCCAAGTAGACACCTCTTACCCCTCTGCTGGACATCCTTGGAACAAGGGTCAACTTGGACCAAGATCTGTAAACAGATGGTCCTGGGAAGGTTCTCCTTGGGCCAGGGTCCTAGAATAGGCACCTGTTACTGCTGCTTCAGGTGCACTCTGCAAACATTCACTTGCTTTGACATTAGCTCTCCTGTTTGGGGTCTCTTTGATATTTAAACTCATGTGGCATGTTTGAGACAGCAAGGAGAGAAGGCCCCTCTACTTCTGGCATGTAGGAAGTCCTCAAAAGCTGCAGGCACAGCTCTGTAGCCATCGTGCCACTGCACTGCCTCCCCCAGGAGACCCAGGCAATTGGGGGCTGCCCATCTGCTCTGTAACTGAAGAAACTGGGTGGAGACTGGAGTCCTGGGCATTCCCATGGGCCTCTGCCATCATGGCCACCAGCAGGCACTGGCAGGGTAGGGGGTACTTTGGAATGTGTGAATCTCATCTTCCTTGGTTCTGGTCACTGATGTCTTGTTTGGTGGGCTTGCATTAGGGTGAGGTGGTTGCCAAGGCTGGCTTTTCATCTAGTCTCTTTCCTCCTCCGGGTGTGGGGGTGGGGGCAGGTTTTACAGGCAGGCTGGGTCAGAGTTACTGCAGGGATTAGGCACAGCCTCCCAACAACAGTTCCAATAGTTCTTCATCATCCCACACCCTCTCTCAGTCAGCTCACATGTAACATTTCAATTCTGCATACTCTTGGGGGGAGGGGGTGGAATTTCTGAGTTATGCTAAGGATTTCTTTAGGGAGGAATTTTTCATTCATTCTTCCCTTCATTCATTCAACAAACATAACTTGAGCTGCATTCCAGTAACTGTATATAAAATCATGGCATATACAGAGGAAAACCAGTAATCCAACTTCAAGAATGTAATCAAAGGATGGAAGAAGGAACTTTCCTTTAGTAAGCCCTTTCAACTTCTCAAGGCTCATTTTTTCATGTGGCTAAGTTTTGTCAGCAGGGCTTCCTTGGTGGCTCAGTGGGAGCCACGGGAGACTGGGGTTTGATTCCTGGGTCCGGAAGATCCCCTGGAGAAGGAAATGGCAATCCACTCCAATATTTTTGCCTGGAAAATCCCACGGACAGAGGAGCCTGGTGGGCTATAGTTCACAGGATCGCAAAGAGTCAAACACGACTGAACGACTAAACAACAACTTCTTTTGTCAGCGCTGCCTTTAGATGCTCAGGACCTTCCAAAAATCCATTTCTGATCTCAAATGTTTACATTGCATTTTATAACAAAGAGGACGCATTTTCTCCCTTCTGCGTTCTTGCTATTCTATCTCCCAAAGAGCCTTTTATGAAGGGGTGTGTGTGTCTGTGTGTGTGTGTAGTTGTTGCTCTGGTGTTGTTGTGACTGTGTCCACCCATGGCACGCCTTTAAGGGAAACGTGCATGGGGATGATGTAGCCACCATTTGGACTTTGCTTCAGGCCTGGAATGGGGCCTGTTAAATTGTTCATAAGTAAGCTGGTATCTGTGAGCTAGGGGTCTGTGTTCTAGCAGATTCTCCATAATGTCAGCATATCACATGGAGAAGCTCTCTGCCGTTTATAAACTACTGACAAATTTTTTTTTCCCTTCAGTGGGGAGGTGGTACCCACAAGAAAGCAAAATAAATGCAGAGGAGAATTCCGTGTAATTTATTATGCAGAGAGCAGAGATAGAGGCCGAGGGGAGAGGCAGTGGGTGGTGTGCCGAAACAAAACATTTAGCAAGGAGCACAGAGTAAACAGGTGTTGCATGTGCCCGTCTGAGCGCAAAAGGAGCCCGCGGATTCAATTCTTCTCCACCCACAGTCTCGGCCGAGAAGGGAGGAGACATGAAAATGAGCTCTCACACAGGACCCCTTCGCCCCATCCTGCCTACGGGCAGGCGGAGGCCTGCTTCTCACCCACAGCGAGGTGGCGGCCTGAACAGTGGAGTGGGGCAAGAGTGGACATCTTTGGTTTTTCACTTGGCTCTGGAACATGCTGGAGACTGCTGTATTTAAATAAACATTTCCTGTTTGCGAAGGAATACGGGCTGAAGGCTGAAACGTGAGAATGTGGTAACTTAATTTTCTCCATCACTCCAGATGACGGCAAACTTCGCCGGTGGTTGGGTCCAATAAAAACCAACACCGTGTCATAGGCTTTCCCTTACTTGACCACAGAGGTCCTGAGGTCAAGTGGGAGACTTTCCAAGATGCTCAACAGCCAGGCCCTGCATCCTGGTACTCACAGCCCTCCAGGCCAGCTAAGAGGACCAAGAGGCAAACTGGTGGATCCTGAGGCCTCTCTGGACCAACCATAGGGATGTGGCCTTTTTAGGGGAGTGGTGTTTTCCTGCTAAGTCTACTGGGTGGGACATAGCAGCTGAAAATATCCTGCAGGGTGCTGTGCAACTTAGAATGGAATGTTTTCCTTCTTTGGGCCTCGTTTTCCTAGAAGTAGGATTCTAGTCCAGTGCATGGTTTTTCGTGTATAGACTGTAGTTCACTGGTGAACTGTCAAAAGCCTCTTTCCCACAGCATAGAACAGTGTCTGGCACTTAGTAGGTTTTCAGCAAGTATGTATTAAATAATGATGAATCTCAAAAGTACACGTCTTTCTTTGGTTCATACAAGTGAAAGCTGAATGCTTATAGATTTGCATTTTTATGTATGGCTGCAGGCTACTTACTAGTAACCTATTATATGAGTTATTAAGGGTTTCTAAAATTTAGCTTTCATGAACTAAAATTATTGCCTTACTAGAGTTACCAAGGAGTGATCCATTCTGGAGTCTGGTTGCCAGGCGTTGCTAAGCAATCTTGCAAAACTCCTACTGTGCACATGCCCATGAAAAGAGCTAGAAATCCCGATCACTTAACCGTAGGACTTTCTCATCAGAAGC